ACAGAGCTAATTATCAGTTCATGTGAAGTCACAGAAAGCATGAAATGCTGGGTAGTATTAGTGCTATTAATTGGAATATTATGGAGAGACACATAGATCGAACACATGCACAGAGCCAGCAAAATCTCACGCCCGCCTCAGGAGTCAAATCCGCTAAAAAAAGTCACCCCAAAGTGGTGTCATTTGCTCCTTTATCACACAATTCAGAAAGAAGCAAATCTGGGAGCTTTTCAGTTCTCAGCTCAGGACGACAAAAACATGTCCTCATGAAAAATACCCCATTCCTACCCGAGGATTTAAACTGTTGACGTACATGCGTACACGTGCGTGGGCACGCAGCTCACTGCCCCTCTTTTTTGATGTGACATGCCTAACATTCCACAGGGTGACTACACTGAAGTTTCAGTGGTTTATAATTTTTTTCATTCCCTCTGAGCTGATTCTTTTAAACCCCGAAAGTATCTTCCCAGGAACCTAAAACACTACCAACCAACAGACATCCTCACCACCTACCACATTCTGGAGAACATCACACAAAGCAAACTCGCATCAACGTCAACAAAAATAAGCTGTCCTAGAGGCAATGCTTCAAGTAAATATTTCTGTCCCAATCCTTCTTTTTACACTTACCCTTTACAACTTGGGGATTATTTGCATTAGAACAGCAACAGCCACCCTACCCAAACCCCAACGCATCTGGCAGCCTGCCGAGACAGATTTGTCTGAAAACCTGTAGTTTATTTAACGACTCATCTCAAAACACACTTTCCTTGTTTATTTTATCCTACTCCCACACCAGAATACCTGTCTCTTTCAAATCTGCCACATTTCTTCCTCCCTGGTTGTCCTAAAAAAAACCCCATTAACTACATCACATTGTGCCACAGTATGTATCACAGAAGCGAGGGAGGAAGAAATGTCGTTGCTGAGAAGAGAAAGACTCGAGCAGGGGCAGGGAAGAGAGAACACCAGCAGCGTACTAAGCAGCTACTATTTTGGGCTAATCCTTCTACTGAGGTGTCTCAATTCCTACCAGGATTTTTGATTCTTTGTACAGGAAAGCAACACTTCCATGTGTTTGGCCAGCATCATTTACCAGATCTCTTCAAGAGTCTTCCACTTTTAGTGGCCAATCTACTTTCACAAGAGCATCAAATACCAAGTTATTTACCTTTTTCAGTCCACAACGCCATCGCGTCAAGGAACCCGACATGCACGTGGGTTAAGGGGTTAGTACGTGCGTTGAACATGCGCACTGTCATACTTCAACGGCTGCCATACCATCATAATGCATAAATGTAATGAGAATTTGCCTCCCCCCCACCCCGTGGCAGAAATGGCTGTAAAACAGACCAAGCAAGGGAAACTGTTAGATGCTCAGCCATCCCAGCAGCACACCTCACTCTGAGACGCAACCCTCTGCCTCTCACCTCCTCCTGACCCGCTCTCAGGCCGTGATGCTTGCTGTCAGCGTACGTACCATACGTCTAACGGGCATTTCCCCCGCCCCAGCTACTGTACGTTCATTTTTGCACTCGCATCATTTACTTCAACCCTTCAAACACTACAGAATTACAGCTCAGGCCGTGCTCTGCGCTGCCCCTGCCCTCTCCTGCAGCCTGGGCACACCAAACCAGAGTGAAACCCATGGGAAGCGCACAAAAAACCTGCCGTCTCCAACTATCTACTCTTTAACAAACATCCCTTTCATCACTGGCCCGTTACAGATGCAGGCAAATGGTTTGTCTCAAAGCCTTCTCGCAAACCAAGGAGCGTCAGAGTTGCATCCAAGAGGGCACCAAGCTCCACCCCAATCCTGGAACATCAAGCAGCGACAGTAACACTTATCACACTACACCCTCCAAATTCCTCAAGCAAGATCGGAATTTACTCGGGCAATGCTTAAAACCCCAACTAGTCTCCTAATCTCAGAGTTCGATAAATCTTGCTTGGAAAGCACCATTGATTTCTACTTGAAGTTACCTCAGCTAATCGGCAGGACACGTGTAACAGGCATGTAACAGTTTTCCCGGCTTCGCTGGATAAGCAAACAAAATTGTTTTGCACAAAATATGGAAATCCATGAAGTTGTTCTACACCTCAACAAACAAACAAGAAGCAGGTGAACAGGCACGCAACAAAACAGCTCAGTACTATTACAAACGTTCCTAACCAAATGAAAGTGGCAGTAGAAACATGAAACTGAAAAGCAGTACACACCTTTAATGCAATTTTGACTCTTTTAATCTTTTTGACCTTTTCAACTGTCTTTGTGCCGAAAAACGTAGAAAGCAGATTGAAAGAATGTTAGTACGCCAGCTGACGAGATCACCGGCAGATTAACAACAGTCAGAATATTCACCTTGAAAGTAAAGAATCAAGGGATTTTCCCTAGCCCTTCCAGCGAGCGGCTAGGTTTTGTCAACCCAGATGCAATCCTATTGCCTGGGGTGATTATATCACGATAACGTCACAACCAATCACTTGATATACATTGATTTTAAAAATGTTCAGCATGCGACTTACAGGATTGAGTGTATTGCACTGATCTATGGGATTCTTGTAATCGGTCTTCAGTTCATCAAACGCTATAATCTAGGAAAATAAAAAAAAGAAACTGTTGTGATTCTGCAGTCCAGAAGCAACCACGTGTTTCATCCATGAAAACCCACGTTTCAATACAGAGCCCTAACGCCCAAGCACTGCCACCCTATTCAGGAACATAAATTCTCCCGAGAAAGTTCCAATATCATAAACCCGCAGGTAAAACACCTCTGAAATAGGTTACACAAACAAGAAAGCAGAAAATACTTCAGGCATTCACAGGCCTCTGCCGTGCCCTCACTCTGCCTTTTTAACTCCCCACCAGCAACGCATTTCCAACATCCCTTTCAGCAGCTCTTAACCCCGCTTGCTGTGCACACACCCCCAGATCTCACAGGTCATTCTCAGCTGCCCGCAGGATCCTGACGCAGGGTTCAATAATGAAGAAAAAGCAATCTTAAAAGCAGCTAAATGCTTTGGCTCGTTACTCTCAAAGCACAGGCTGACCCCGCACGTATGTCCAAAAGCGCATCCATTGAAAGAAGTTATGTATACTGGACATTTTCATGTCACAGAATCATAGAAGGGTTTGGGTTGGAAGGGACCTTACAGACCACCCAGTTCCCCCCCCGCGGCCATGGGCAGGAACCCCTTCCACTAGACCAGGCTTCTTGTCATGACAAAGACGCAGCATGAAACACAACAAAAGCCACATCTACAGAACAAATATCATCCCAAGCATTATAAAAATCTTAAAGCCGTCTAAGTTATTACCAGGATGAGATTTGTCTGTATTCCTATCAGGCCCAATGTGCCTAGAGGACAGGGTTTATGCTACCACAGTACAGTTTTTGTTAGCGATAACTAGGACTCTTGAAACAGTGCCAAAAGTAACATCTTCCCTGCATCCTCACAGCTGAGCCCAGGCAGGTTCCTGTTCGGGTAGCTCTCCTTGTGTCAGGCTCAAGATGGAAAGCTCTCCAAAAAATTATTAAAAATTTAAAAATCTCTAAAGTTAAGTCTCAATATAAAGCATGGACAGAGTGCAACACTTTGCTCGTTATTTCTGTTAAATAAGCGGCCAATCCAACTTCAAACTAAAACATTTCAGACTGCTATTATTACTAAGAGGCTGCTTTCATTAAAAATACCGTTTAATACAGCGGGTGTATCTCATACCAGCACCTGAAAATCCTTTTCATCCACAGAGAAACACTCCCAGACAAGGCGGAGGGGGGGCACTAGACGCGACACCTCGGATCCCACCGCCGCCCTGCGAGGCCGGGCAGTGCCCCGGGGAAGCGGCACCTCACCGGGTGAGCCCTTTCGGAGATGCACCGCCCGCG